ATGATTTGCGGTAACGTCTTTGTCGGCTGGCCTTAAGTTGCCAGCCGACGACCTTTGGAACGCTTAAAAAATATGGGGCGCACCGCGCCTTCTTCGCCCGACGGTTCGTCGGTCGGGCGGCATCCGGCGGTTGTTCGGCCGGGAACGATGCACTTTCGGGGGTGTATCGTTACAGTTTTATATTTAACAGTACGTGAACTTTTATAAGACTCTTTTATTTAATAATACTTTATGATATTTCTAATCAAAAAGGGTTTATGTTCCCATCATGGAAACCGTGAGCACGTGAAATAAAAAATTCATGATATTATTTCGTTTACGTAAAACTTAGGAAGTAAATCGACTATGTCCGCATAGGCGCGTTTGGGCATCCCCCCTTCCGCCCCTCTGAACGAGCCACATAAAGGCCGAGACACAGACTTTTGCATAACGCTGCATAACGCATAAGACGTAAAGCATAAGAAAATCAACCAACCAGAGTCCTTCATATTCTGATTGGTTGATTTTCTTATGCCTTATGTCTTGTGCGTTATGCAGCGTTATGCAAAAGTCTGTGTCTCGGCCTTATAAGAGCGAAAAATCCACCTACATGGCAAGCGCTACATGTTGCCACGTCCTACGTATGTAACAGCCAATAGTGGTTATATACTAACGATATATCAGTGGAATCTCGATAACTCAAACCTCTACAATTCGAAAACCTCTATAATACGAAAATTTTGTTTATCCTCTTCTGCTCCGCTGCGGAAAACATCACTATAAATTGAAATAAAACCTACCTTAACTCGAATTATTTGTCAGGAATTTAGATATATATTTTGCCTCTGTAACTGAATTTAAAGTAGTCAGACTTTTAGAAGTCGAGGTTTACTTCTATAAGTAGAACTTCCATTGTCGCTACCTCTATATAATTCGAAGTTGTTGCAGCTACACGAAATTTTATTCAGAACTCGCTCTAACCATTCTAGATGTTCCTCGAATGTCGGAGTCACGATTACTATATCATCTAAATACGCGAACGCGTGAGGCTCCATTTCCGGACCAATTAATTTGTCAAGAAGGCGTTGAAAAGTCGCGGGCGCGCCCGTCAATCCAAGACGGCATACGAGTAAAATGATACAAGCCCTTACCGGGGACACTAAAGGCGGTAATCTCTCGACTGTCCTTTGCCAGGGGTATTTGAAAATACGCCTGACTCAGATCTATCGTAGAGATGTAACGCGCAGATCTTAGTTTATCCAGAATGCCATTCATGTTCGGAAGCGGGTACGCGTCCTTCTTAGATACCCCATTTACTCTTCGAAAGTCCAAGCAAAAGCGGTATTTCCCGTTTGGTTTCTTAACCATGACTATCGGATTTGACCACTCGCTAAAGGATGCCTCAATAATTCCGGCAGCTAACATCTTATCTACCTCTTCTCTAATTGCCTCCTGAACTTTAGGAGAGACTAAATAGCATCGCTGCTTTATCGGAGTGCTTCCCCCGACATCTATGCGGTGTTCCGTGAGAGAAGTGACACCGGGATCCGTGATCGTTTTCGGCAATTTACGCTCTAAAAATTCCTGTAACTGTGACTCTTGGTCAGGGGTTAATTCGGAAAGTCCGCTGCAGACGTATTCCTCGCTAAGGTCCGTATTCTCAAACGCGCGACGCTCCCCCGGGCGATTCGCAAAAT